GTCAGGTGCGGGGACAGGAACATGGATCAGGAACAAGGATTAGGGTCAGGTGCGGGGACTGGAACATGGATCAGGAACAAGGATCAGGTGCGGGGACAGGAACATCGATCAGGAACAAGGATCAGGCTCAGGTGCAGGAACATGGATCAGGAACAAGGATCAGGGTCAGGTACGGGGACAGGAACATGGATCAGGCTCAGTTGTGGGGACAGGAACATGGATCAGGAACATTGATCAGGGTCAGGTGTGGGTACAGGAACATGGATCAGGGTCAGGTGCGGGTAGGGGAACATAGATCAGGGTCAGGTGAGGGTACAGGAACATGGATCAGGGTCAGGTGTGGGGTACAGGAACATGGATCAGGTGTGGGTACAGGAACAAGGATCAGGTGAGGGTACAGGAACATGGATCAGGCTCAGGCAGGGATACGGCTTGCACAAAGAATACTGAAGTGCTGAACCTCAGTTGTGGGTGGACTTATATACCTCCCAGCAACCCACGTTAGGTGCAGCCTAATTGGACAGCCCAGCTGCTGGGAGACACCCACTGGTGACCTCCAGAACTGCGCCCTTTGACTCTGGGAACCACAGTGCCACTAGCAGGTGACCCAAGTCCTGACAGTCTGGTATGTGGAGATGGAGTCGTTATTACTTTGTGTACAATACACAACGTGTTCCATTATTATAACAAAGTATTGTAGGAAAAATCCCAACATAGACAATGGGGGAGGGGGAGAAAATGATCCTGGATATGAAGGAGATATTTCTCTTTTTTTAATGTAAATATTTATTCATTTTTCAAATAAACAAGTTATACAAACATTCTCATTAAAACCTTAGCATATTATCAAAACATTTATTGTTTCATCCCTTTCCCCCCTGTCCCCCCCCCCACCTATATACCACCCCCCCCCCCCATCCAATCCCTGACCCCTTCTGCTCTGCATTTTCCTGTTCATTTCTGGAGATCGTAATCCCTATAAAGAAGAACAAAATATGTTTCCATATTATTCTACGTTAATCCCCCATAACCTCCAAGGCTAGCCTTGACTTTTTTGAATTCCTCCCATTTGTTCCATCTTGTATGGTGACTCTCCATATTATCTTCATTCCTATGATAGAGTTCCTCCAATTTACATATTTGATCCACCCTATCCACCCAGTCCTTTATTTTCGGCACCTCCTGTCTCCTCCAATACTTGGGCATCAGTCCCTTTGCTGCATTCAAATAGTACAATAAACCAGATTCTTTGTATTTTTTAACCACTTCCCATCCGGCCATTGTATATAAACGGCCGGATGGTGGCAGTGCAGGGGCAGATGAACATTTATAAACGGCCTCCCCGCACCCTGCTTGTGCACGCTCCCTGGGAGCGTGCAGCAATGCGATCCGGTGCCCGCTGTGTTCTCCAGACACAGTGAAACACCGATCGTTGTACGGGACCTCTGTGTGAGGTCCCGAACATGTGATCCCTGATTGGCCAATCAGCGATCACATGCAGAGTAGTAAGCAAGAGGTCACTTCTGACATCATTGCTTACTACGTGTGAAATCTGTGAATGATCACCGAAATCACATGGTACAGGGCCATTCACAACAGTCTTGTACCATGTGACAAGCTGTGACCAATCACAGCTCACACAGTAGTTCTCAATGGCTGCAGGAATGCAGCCAGAGAGAAGGAGAAATGATTCCTCTTACAGCCTTTATGGGTGTAAAAGCAATCAGTGTAAAAAAAAAAAATTCTTCATCACCCCCAAAAGTAGTACAGTATCACCATGGTGACACTGTACTGCTAGGGTGACAGTATGTAAAAAAACAAATATTAATATAAACAAAAATAAACTAATTTGGGTTTTTTTTTTTTTTTACTAAAAGGATAACGGAATAAATTTTGGCCAAGATTTATGACAAAATATTTATTTACAAAATTTTATAAAGAAAAACTTTTTTCAAAATGTTTGAACTCTTTCATTTACATAGCAAAGAAAATAAAAATCCCAGTGGTGAATAAATACCACCAACATAAAGCTTTATCTGTCTCAAAAAAATGCTAAAAAATTCATATGGGTGCAGTGTTGCACAACCGCGCAATTGTCATTCAAAGTGTGATAGCGCTGAAAGCTGAAAATTGGCCTGGGAAGAAAGGGGGGGAAAGTGTCTGGACTGGAAGGGGGTGAAAGTGTCCGAACTCGAAGGGGGGGGTGGTGAAAGTGTCCGGACTGGAAGGGGGGGAAAGTGTCCGGACTGGAAGGGGGTGAAAGTGTCCGGACTGGAAGGGGGGGAAAGTGTCCGGACTGGAAGGGGGTAAAAGTGTCCGGACTGGAAGGGGGTAAAAGTGTCTGGACTGGAATGGGGGGAAAGTGTCCAGACTGGAAGGGGGGGGAAAGTGTCCGGACTGGAAGAGGGTAAAAGTGTCCGGACTGGAAGAGGGTAACAGTGTCCGGACTGGAAGGGGGGGGAAAGTGTCCAGACTGGAAGGGGGTAAAAGTGTCCAGACAGGAAGGGGGTGAAAGTGTCCGGACTGGAAGGGGGGGAAAGTGTCCGGACTGGAAGGGGGTGAAAGTGTCCGGACTGGAAGGGGGTGAAAGTGTCCGGACTGGAAGGGGGGGAAAGTGTCCGGACTGGAAGGGGGTGAAAGCGTCCAGACTGGAAGGGGGAAAAGCATCCGGACTGGAAGGGGGTGAAAGCGTCCGGACTGGAAGGGGGTGAAAGCGTCCGGACTGGAAGGGGGTGAAAGCGTCCAGACTGGAAGGGGGTGAAAGTGTCCGGACTGAAAGGGGGGTGAAAGTGTCCGGACTGGAAGGGGGTGAAAGTGTCCTGACTGGAAGGGGGTGAAAGTGTCCGGGGGGGGAAAGTGTCCGGACTGGAAGGGGGTGAAAGTGTCCTGACTGGAGGGGCAGGGGGGGGGGGAGTGTCCGGATTGGAAGTTGGTTGACTCCATGCAACACAGATGTACAGCAGTTCTCAGAAACAGTGCTTATACAACGAAATATTCATTAAGTGATTCAAAGGAAAGCAAAATCTTCAAACATTTTTCAGTTTATATAGTGAATGTTTGAGTTTGTAAAGAAGAATACAAACACTGCTATTTTTTTGAACAGTCTAATATTCACTTTTCTTCAATTTTTTTAGAGGAACAACACAAATTTGATCTATTTTTCTTCATGTTTTGATTTGGAATAGAATGTGTAGTGTTCCCAATGCATTTGTGTGTATGGAAATAAAAGCTATTAGAAGGATTTTCAGCTTTATTCACCTTTTTCAACACGCTGCTATTATTTTGAACACAACTGTATATATATATATATATGGACATTTTATTAATTTGATTATTTTAGCGCTACACCTTTGTATTTGTTATATTATTTGAAGGTTTTATCTGGTTACCTTTGGTGTTTTAGCAGCTTTATTTGAGAGCGCTCACTTTGTTTTTAATATCTATGTTATTCCTCTACTATAGGCCTTATGAGCCTCCCACACTGTTGCTACGGACACTTCCCCAGAGTCGTTTTCCTCAAAAAATTGCTCTATTTCTTTTTTAATTCTTTGATCCACCTCTGAATCCTGGAGAAGGGTCTTATTTAACCTCCATAATTTCCCCCCAATCTGCTCCTTTCCCCATAATAATTGCAGTGACCAGGGCGTGGTCCGATATGGACATCACTTTTTACTTTGACCAGAGACTTGATATGTCGATGGTCCAGCAATTAATAATCCAGTCTTGAATACATCTCATGTGCATGAGAATAAAACGTATAGTCTCTGTCCTTCATGTGTTTAATTCTCCGTATATCTACAAGTTGACATTGGTGTATCATTTTTTTCAAGGATTTCAGAGACCTGCTACCATCTCTCTGCACAGGGGACGTCCTATCCATCTGGGGATCCATGCAGAGATTGAAATCACCCGCCACAATTAAATTGCCTTTTTTGAAACCCATTAACTTCCTCTGAGTATTTTCTATGAATTCCTCCGGTTTCTTATTCAGGCAATAGATATTTGCTAATGTACAGTCTATTTCCTGTAATTTTCCTGAAGGGGATATTTCTGGCCAGTAGATGGAGCTGATGATCATAGGAAATCACTGGATGAAATAAAACATGGTCAATATTTGTCACGGCTGAGCGAAAGCTTCTCACATTTATTCCACGATTTTATTACTGTATTATCAACAGACCTCGAAGTGTGAAATCTCCCACCACAAAATGTCCTCAGCAAATGACAGGGCAGGACGCCATTTTTATTCTTCTCCTGCCATCAATGGCCAACCTGGTCCAACACTTCATTCACGTCTTTGGTGACCTCTGACCTCAAATTGTGGTCAGGGCTGAGAGACTCTGCAGGCCAACCCCTCTGGCATTTCCCCCTGCTCTAAGGCTCTTGGAGGAGGGCGTCGGAGGCAGTGGGTGGATCTGAGGAGTGGTTGACCTCCTTATGAACTGTTTCTTCCATGATGAAGATCATCCATGGAGTATATCTGAGGTGTATATCAGTGTGTACTTCTTCCCCACATTAGAGCTGGGATGTCCAGCAAATTCACCTAGAAGACATTTCCCACACTCAAGGCACTAATACACCTCCACGGTTGTGTGGGAATCCAGGATGACAGGACTTCAGTGAGGAACATTTCCCTCACTCAGGATAGGAATACGGCTTCTCCCCCGTGTGAGATCTCTGATGTGTGTCAAGACTGTATTTCCGTGCATAACATTTGCCGCACTCAGGACAGGAATACGGCTTCTCCCCCGTGTGAGATCTCTGATGGCTGGAAAGATGGGACTTATCTGAAAAACATTTCCCACACTCAGGACAGGAATACGGCTTCTCCCCCGTGTGAGATCTCTGGTGTTTGTAAAGACGGGACTTGGCTGAAAAACATTTCCCGCACTCAGGACAGGAATGAAGCTTCTCCCCTGTGTGCATTCTCTGGTGGCTGTAGAGATTGGACTTTCGTGAAAAACATTTCCCGCAATCAGGACAGGAATGAGGCTTCTCACCCGTGTGGGCTGTTTGATGTCTGACAAGCTGTGATTTTTTTACAAAACATTTCCCGCACTCAGTGCAGAGGTGTGGCTTCTCCCCCGTGTGAGATCTTAAATGCATAATAAGATCAGATTTAAAACGGAAACATTTCCCGCACTCAGAACATGAATACGGCTTCTCCCCCGTGTGAGCTCTCTGATGTGTGTAAAGACTGGACTTCACTGAAAAACATTTCCCGCACTCAGGACAAGAATACGGCTTCTCCCCCGTGTGAGATCTTTTATGCTCATTAAGACCGGATTTATTATTGAAACATTTCCCGCACTCAGGGCAGGAATACGGCTTCTCCCCTGTGTGAGTTCTTTTATGCTCATTAAGACCGGATTTATAATGGAAACATTTCCCGCACTCAGGGCAGGAATGTGGCCTCTTCTTATCTGTGTGGGATCTTTTATGCTCACAAAGTTTGGATCCAGAATGAAAAACTCTTCCCACACTCAGGACAGGAATACGGCTTCTCCCCCGTGTGATATCTCTGATGTATGGAAAGCTGGGACTTCGTTGAAAAACATTTCCCGCACTCAGAGCAGGAATACGGCTTCTCCCCTGAGTGAGATCTCTGATGTATGGAAAGCTGGGACTTTGTTGAAAAACATTTCCTGCACTCAGAGCAGGAATGTGGCTTTTCCCCTGTGTGAGATCTCTGATGTTTGTAAAGACAGGAATAATCTGAAAAACATTTCCCACACTCAGAACAGGAATACGGCTTTTCACCTGTGTGCAATCTCTGATGTGTGTAAAGATGGGACTTCTGTGAAAAACATTTACCACACTCAGAGCAGGAATACGGCTTCTCCCCCGTGTGCAATCTCTGATGTGTGTAAAGATAGGACTTCTGTGAAAAACATTTCCCGCACTCAGGACAGGAATACGGCTTCTCACCTGTATGAGTTTTTTTATGCTCATTAAGATCGGATTAGAATGGAAACATTTTCCGCACTCAGTACAGGAGAAGCTCTTCCCTGTTGGAAGGCCGGCCTGGTCCCGCACAGTCTGAGGTTCCTCAAAAAAGGAATTCAGCTTCCTAGCTGTGTGAGTTTTTTGATGTCTGTAAAGATGAGATGTCACTGAAAAACATTTCCCGCACTCAGGACAGGAGTATGGTTTCTCTCCTGTGTGAAATCTTTTATGCGCATTAAGATGAGATTTAAAACGGAAACACTTCCCGCACTCAGTACAGGGAAACCTCTTCTCTGTTGGAAGGACGGCCCGGTTCCGCACAGTCTGAAGTTCCTCAGGATACGAGGAATCCGATGGTCCATCTACACTGGGTGGTGCCGGATGGACATTGGAGGGAGCCGGGTTTTCTCCTGGACTATACTGTGTGATGTCCTCATCTTCTACTTTCCAGTCTGGAGACAAAATGAGACAATCCTCGGAGGTTTTCCTCATCTCCCGGCCATGGACTAAAATACAAAGACAAAGAGGATTACTAGACAGGAGCCCCACCAGAGGTCAGAGAGTGAGGATGGGGGGAGGACAACCAAGAGGAAGACTGGACTCATCCTGAAGACCACCATCATTGGGGTATTGGCTCCTCCCCTATCCTGAAGACCACCAACATTGGGGTATTGGCTCCTCCCCCATCCTGAAGACCACCAACATTGGGGCATTGGCTCCTCCCCCATCCTGAAGACCACCATAATTAGGGTATTGGCTCCTCCCCCATCCTGATCCTGAAGACCAACATCAATGGGGTATCGGCTCCTCCCCCCATCCTGAAGACCACCATCATAGGGGTATTGGCTGCTCCCCCATTATCACTTTCTGGTTGGAGGATGTGATCACATTATTATCACCATGGAACAGTCTGTGCTCCAATCACATCATCCGATATAAAATGTCCAGCTGGTAGGAAATGGGGGGAACAGAGGAGAAGACATATTATGTGTACATATAGGAGTGGGGGGAGGGGGGGAGCAGACGTCAGGACTATGTAATGTACAACATGGAGTATATAGTGCAGGGGCCAGGAGTATGTAATGTACAACATGGAGTATATAGTGCAGGGGTCAGGAATATGTAATGTACAACACAGGGTATATAGTGCGGGGGTCAGGAGTATGTAATGTACAACACAGAGTATATAGTGCAGGGGTCAGGAGTATGTAATGTACAACACAGAGTATATAGTGCAGGGGTCAGGAGTATGGAATGTACAACATAGAGTATATAGTGCAGGGGTCAGGACTATGTAATGTACAACACGGAGTATATAGTGCAGGGGTCAGGACTATGTAATGTACAACACGGAGTATATAGTGCAGGGGTCAGGACTATGTAATGTACAACACGGAGTATATAGTGCAGGGGTCAGGACTATGTAATGTACAACAAATGTTTGGACTTTTTCATTTATATAGCAAAAAAAATAAAAATCAACGTGGTGAATAAATACCACCAAAATAAAGTTTTATCTGTCTCAAAAAAATGCTAAAAAAATTAATATGGGTACAGTGTTGCATGACCGCGCAATTGTCATTCAAAGTGTGATAGCGCTGAAAGCTGAAAATTGGCCTGGACTGGAAGGGGGGGGGAAAGTGTCCGGACAGGAAGGGGGGAAGTATCCGGACTGGAAGGGGGGGAAGTGATAGAGTAGATTGGGGTTTTTTTTTTGGGGTTTATGATAAATACGCTGGAAGTTCTAGGAATAAGGGAATACATGTTGAAATGGAAAAAAAAAACTTTATAATAGCCCCTCAGCGGCGGTGAAGGTAAATGGGACCCTGTCAGATTCCTTTAGATTACATAATGGTACTAAACAGGGTTGCCCATAGTCACCATTACTGTTTGCACTGTCCCTGGAACCACTTTTGGCATTAGTAAGAAAGAACATAGATAGTAAGGAAATTAAAATAGAAGTAGAGCATATGGTAGCAGCATATGCAGACGATATGCTGTTTTATATAGAGAACCCTAGATTAACACTACCCAATTTAATGAAGTTATTAAAACAATATGGAGAATTATCTAATTTAAAAATAAATCCTACAAAATCTGAAATTTTAGAGAAAAATGGAGAGGGTGGTGTGATTTCAAAACATCAGGAAAATACGTTAAAATGAGGGGTGATTTAGTAATTGAGCTGGAGAATTGAAATGATTAAACAGATGTATAGAAATAGGTTGGTATACAGAAAGGGAAGAGAATTTTAGACAGGAATGGACATGGGGGGGGGGAGAAATGGGGGTGTATTTGATGTGATATTATTGTTATGTGTTAAAAAAAGAAAGTAGAATTTACTGTGTCTATTCCCCATTATTAATGGAGTCACCTATTGTTTCTGTCTGTTGGCTGATCCTTCAGGAGGTTCTTTGTTGGTTGGATCTCCTGGAGGTTCTTACATGATGGGATTAGTCTGGTGTCAGCTCCACCTCGTTGTCTAATTAATGTGAGATGTTTATCCCAATGTGCAATATTTGTTATTATTGTTCATGTGGGGACTGCCCGTATTTCTAAAGAGTAGAAAAACCTATATTTCTGTTCAATAAAGAAGTTCCAGGTTGCACCCGAGCTGTTGTCGCCTAGTCCTTGAGTGCAATGCCCAGCTACAGGGCTGCTGTTAGCCATGGGGCCCCATACAGCCAACTTGACAGCCCCCCCCCCCTCAAAAAACACCCACAGTTTGCTATGCTTCAGTTATGAATGAACAGTGTGTTCGCTCATTGTGTTCATTCGGGAAAAGAAGGGGCTGGTCAATGTGATATATTTACTGGACCCTTCCCCCACTCTCCATCCTGAAGGATCCTATTATGTGATTGCAGCTGCCGGTGGGAAGGAGAGGAGGGAAGCCGGAAGTACTGTGGGGGTGGGGGCACATAAGGGGAAGCATATGATTCACAGGGAGAGTGATAAGTGCAGCAGGAGGGGCAATTACCGGAACCGATCCCCTATATGGATCCCTCTGCAGCAGCTGAAACCAGACCCCCCAGTGTCATGTGCAGAGAGACGGGGCACAATAAAGTCTCCTCTTACCTGGTGATGTGAGGGGCAGCTGATTGTCCATCATGACGTCCTTGTAGAGGTCCTTGTGTCCTTCTAAATACTCCCACTCCTCCATGGAGAAATAGACAGTGACACCCTGACACCTTATAGGAACCTGACACACACAATGATACAGTCACCATCCAGACACATCTCTTGTCTGTTACTGGAAAATGTCCCAGAATTCCCAGCACCGCTCACCTCTCCTGTCAGAAGCTGGACCATCATGGTGGTCAGTTCCAGGATCTTCTGCTCTTTGTTCCTCTCAGGTATTGGAGAACGAGGGGGAGGCAGCATGGTGGGGCTCTGGGTCCTGCTCCATCCTCCTGAGATTGGCTTCCCACGAGACTTCTTCACTACAACATAATCCTACAGATCAGGAGAAAGAGAAACCGATATCAATCATCTGACATCATCTACATGTCTACAAGAAAAACATGGTCTATTGGCCAGACTAGACCAGAGTGATGTCATGTGACCTCCCAGAATCCTCCTCACCTCTACGGTCAGATCTTAGATGTTCCCCATGGATCTAGTGGTCAGTGGGCGTGGCATGCCGGCAGTCATGGATCTTACTGATTGGACTAAAGCGGACTTTGCTCTCTGATATAACCAATGCCGCCAGCTTGTGCTATAAACAGATATCATAGAGTACGGACACTTCATGTATTCATAGTACTTGTGTGCAGCTCCGTTCCAGCGCCTCCTGCTGGCCCTGGGCTCCCCGCACCATCCTATCACTGGGAATGACAGAATAACGGCTTCTGTGTTTACAAGTGACAGCACACTTCATTGGACGGCTCTGACAAGGACCTTCCCTGCCCCGGCACTCAGGGCTGAGACAAGGGAGGGGCAGCTGTCAGGTGCTGTGTGTTAACCCCCCTGGCAGTATTCCCGAGTGTAGCTCGGGGTAAAGTTTCAGTACCAGAAGCGGTAACCCCGAGCTACACTCGGGCTTACCATGCGGCTCTGCTCCGCGATCCCTTGATCACTTACCTTGTCCTGCGCTCCTGTGATGTCCCTCCTGCAGTGTCCCCAGCAATGTAATCCGGCGGATGCCGGTATCTGTCTTCTGTTCCCCTGCGAGCGTCGGGACGTACGGGGTAGGAATGGCGGGAAATTTGAAAATGACAAAAAGTGACATTTACTAAAATCACATAGTAAAACATTACTGTATCAAACCATTTCACATACATTTTGTCCAGAGTGCTTTGTCCGGCGCCCTGCCTGCATTTTTACTGTTCTTTCTGCCTGGAAACTGAGAAACGTCCATGGCGTCCAAAAAGTGTCCCTTTAGGTCAAAAGCGGTTTTAGACCAGCTAGAGAACAGAGATAGTAAATCAGAACTACTTGCAGAATTGAGTGATAATGATTTGCGGGGAAATTCGTCATCAGACACTGAAAACGATTCTGTGACTGAGCTCAGCGATGTGCAAACTTGGTGCTATATTTCAAATTTCAGTGTTTTTGGTGATTGATTATATTATTGAATTCAATTTATTATTATTATATTATTTTTTATGATGATTTATTAAATTATAATTTATGATTTCGTTTTTCAAGTTTTATCCTACCCGGAATGTTTATTAGACTCTTGTTTGGACAGATTTCAGTGAGTTATTCCTAAAAATTACAGGCCTACAATAATAATAAAAAAAAAAACATTTCCTTGCAAAAAAATGTACCACTTTGAGCACAGAAATATGGACATAATCAGACCACTAGGGAGGTTAATAGGCTGGGGGGGTGTCACTTCCATGATCCCCAACACTGACTTGGTGGGGGAGAGGCGGAGCCAAATGAGTGTGCTGCTGCAGAGAGGTGAATATGTGGAAGATGATGGAGCCATGAAAGAGGAGAGGGGGCAGTGGAGGGGGTGTAATGTACAGAGTTGAGGG